CCCCAAAACCCCAAAACCCCAAAACCCCTTCTGATTTTAAAATAATTGAAATGGAGCTCAGTTCTCTTTCTGAAACAAGTGATGATTATATCAATAACACGAATTCTCCAATGCAGACGCCTCTTCTCAGTAAGACCTTCATCTCCAAGACACAAGGAAAAGGGAAGCTAAATATGAGATGAAAGAAATAACTCAAAATCAAATTTCATCAACTCCAAGACTAAATTTTCCAATATCAAAATTAGGCTAAAGGTACTAATTCTCTCATCTTGTAGAGTGAAGATATTTCAATGAATTAGGGCCAGGTCAGCTGCCCGGTTTTCCTTAAGTAATTGGAAGAGAAGTGATAGTATTAAAAAGCTAAAAATTGTTCGTGAAAAGATTGTTAAGACTCGAAAACCATCAGACAAACAGTAATTCTAAGCTTTACTTACAGGAAAACTCTTTTATCCCCTAACAGGTACAGAACAGACCCCTCAAATTTGCAGAAAAAGATGTCCTACAGTAAATAGAAGAGCTAAACAGGCTGATTTGGTGCTAAAAATTGAAAATGATACTTTACTATCTCATCTAGAGTTTGATCAAGCTCAAGAGAACTCTGGATGGAAATAAAATCAGCGATTTTATTCTTCACAGAGGGAAGAAATTTTTCAAATAAGTCAGTCAAGAAGCTTAATAGGATAAAAATAAATCATACAAAAGCTTTTCTAATGAACAAAATGATGGCTCCGAGGATGAGCTTGCAGAGTGTCAAGAGTATAGCAACTATCCAAAGTGCCAATAGTCAGAGAAGCTTGGAGACTGTTTTGAGTAATTGAAAAATTAATAAACCAAAGCATAAAAGACCAAGCAAAGTTTATAAAAAGTACAGGAAGAATATTACTGCATTGTCTATCCCCAAGCTGATGGTTACTACTCACCAGGATGAGAAAATAGAACTTAAGGAGAAATCTCCCCTGAATAAAGGAGTTATGGCCAATGATAACAAAACCACCAAATTATTGTTTAGACGTCTCAGAGCTAACTTCTCCAAACCTAAAGAAACTAGGAAGAGAAGAATCAGACCAAAGACCAGTCAGCCAAGCTTATATAAAAGTAGAAGATTACGCCTTAAAGCGCCAAAATTATACATTTTTCAGGATAACTTTAAGGTTCGTAATCGATCTAATATGTCTAACATCTCTAGAAAGTGTTAAACTCTCAGAAGAGCCATAGAGTGCTCACAAACAGGAAGAACTATCTCCCTTCAAGGGTATTCTAAGTTACGGAACAATTTGTCTAATATTCTATTTACTAACTTTACCTTAACTGTGTGCTTCACCCAGTAGTATTTCAATCATGAGGATACTAAAAGGGGTTTTGGGGTTTTGGGGTTTTGGGG